TAGATGTGATTACATTTAATCATTGTACTTTTTTTCGCTTTTTACAAACTTTTTTTTTTTCTTGAGAGGTTTTTGCTATAGGGTGCGTGGTCCCCAAACTGATTTTTTTAATTTATTATTACCATAATCTTGTTTATATTACGTTGAATCACATATATCTTTACAGTGTATGACATTTCTTTTTCTAGAAGGAATACCTTGCATATCAGTCAAGACAAAGACATTACTATCCACATTATCATCATCAAATAGCTTTACCCAACATGAAATACTTCTCAGACCAGTCCAGTTGAGAATACTATACAACAGGTAATAAGCCATATCTGTGTCCCACTAATGTCATGCCTATTTGTTCTCTTGCTGTCCTTCTCCATACTCTTCCCTTCTCCCACCCTGTTCCACACTGTCTTATCATCGCTAACTATTTCCACTGCTTTTATGCCCTCCAATATTTCGATCTCTACCATGAAGTGCGGATAGTCGGTATATATTAAGTGGATACATACAATATCTTTCCTTCATATGGTGGCTTGCTTCACTCAGTAATAGATCCTCCATATCCGACCGCTTTCTATCAAATGCCAGGGTCTTGGTTTTTATGACTGAATGGTATTCCATAGAGTACATGTGCCATAATTTTCCAATCCATTCATCTGTTTGTGGACATTTAGGTTGGTTCCATGTCTTAACAATCATCAATAATGCTGCAATAAACATTGATGTGCAAGCGCTTTTTCAACTGAGTGTTCTCCTGTCCTTTGGGTAGATACCGAGAAGTGGGATTGCTGGATCAAATGGTAGTTCTATTTGTAGATCTTTGAGGAACCTTCATATTGTTCTCCACAGTGGCTGGACCAATTTACATTCCCACCAACACTTATCACTTTATATTTTTAATCTTCGCCATTCTGACAGGGGTTAGGTGGTATTTCATTGTGGTTTTAATCCGCATCTCCCTTATGATTAGGGATGATTAATTTCTTTTTAAAAAGTATTTATTTAATATATTTAAATTATTTATTTTGTTTATTTAATTTTTAGTTATTATCATTATTTTATTTAGTTGTTATTATTATTATTGACCAGAGAGAGATACAGGGCAAGTGAGAAAGCAAGCTGCCAAGTTTGGGACTTGAACCATGGTTGGCTACGTGGGAATCCAGCACCTCAACCACTATGCCACCTGCCAGCCCCCCTTAATAAGAACATTTCTGAACATTCCCAGTGCTTACCATATACCACTTTTCTCCAAAATAAAACTAATTTAAACCCACAATATTTAAGACATACTAAGAAAATGAGTATTATTCTGCATAAAATTCAAGCAGGAAGAAAAGCAGAAGTTGCTAACCTTACCAATAGTTTAATAATGCTGTCAAACCAAAATTCATTGTAAGATTTGCTTAGAAGATTCAAGACAAAATATTATCTTTATACTTTGTATTGGCATGTTTTGATTTAGATCTTGCATTTCGAAGAAAGCATCCTTGAAGAGTTTTCTTGGGGGGGGGTTGTTTATGTTTGCTTTCGCTACACGGCACATGCACTCCCCAAAGAGAAACAGGTGTGGGAGTGCAAAGTCACCCGCTCGGGGTGGCGGGGGGGATGGCCACGCCACAGTCCCTCTTCCTCCATTCTCCTCTTGAGATTTTGGGCATGCACATATGCATGCCCACCATGTTTTTCAAGCCACAGGGTCTAGGACTCTAACCATGCAGTTGGCCATGTGGGATCCAGCCACCTTAACCTCCTCACCACCAGGTGGCCCCAGTTGAGGGTTTTATTTTTTAAAGAATCATTTATTTTTTATTATTATTTTAAATATGCTATAGGGCACTTGTGGTCACCAGAGAGAAAGAGAGAGAGAGAAAGCAAACCGCCAGGTCTGGGACTGGAATTGTTGTCAGCCATGTGGGAGTCCAGCGCTTTAACCACAATGCCACTGCTGGCTGCAGTCGAGGGGCTTTTACTGCTATTTGGTTATCTATAAAGTTATGTCCCTTTTGACAGAAGCATCATTCATGTCAGTAATCCAGATTATGGGGCTCGCTAGATTACCTTCGGGGAGGAGTCTGGGATACTTACCCTATCTAGAGGTTTGGAGAAGGCTTCCCTGAGGGCCTGACATCTAAAGTGAGGATGAGGAGCTTGTAAAGGAAACATCAAAAGGACAATGTTTGGTAGTGAGGAAACGCTTTTGAAGAATTGAGAGAATATTAGTGTGGCTGGATCAGAGCATGCAGTGCACAAAGGGCCCGTGAGAAGGCGGCCAGGGGTCCCCGATAGCCTGGACAGCCCCTTCCCTCCATAACTCAACGGCATGTGGATTTAGCAGGGCAGCCGTGTGGCCCATCTACTGGTGAAAGCACTAACAGTCAGGGACCTCTTTCTTTTTATAAAAAATAATTATTTTATTTGACTTTATTCATTTATTTTCATTTGTCCAGAGAGGGACAGATGGAGAGAGAGAGAGAAAGTGAGAAAGCAAGCCGCCAGGTCCAGGACTCGAACCACGGTCGACCATGTGGGAGTCCAGTGCCCTTAACCACCATGCCACCTGCCAGCCCTCCTCTTTTTTCTTTTCTTCTCTCTCTCTTTTTTTTTGTCTGAGGGGGCATATGCTCCTAGAGAGACAGAGCAAGAGATGGAGAAAACACTGCAACCAGGGAAGGGTGGTGCTACAATCCCTCCCACACTTCCCCACTTCCCCACTCTGGCAGGATGTAGGGTATGCACATCACGCGGGCCCGGCATGTTCCTCAAGTCACTGGGGCAGTTGGCCATGTGGGACCCGGCTCCTCTAACCACCAGGCCACGGGGCCAGCCCCACTCACAGACTTTTTTCCCCCCAGAGTTTTGCCATAGGGAATGTGCACTCACCAGAGAGAGAGAGAGAGGAATCAGTCCCCCAGAGATGGCCCCGCCACAATCCTGTCTCCATTCTCCTCTTGGAATTTTGAGCATGCACACACACCTACCTGGAGTGATTTTCCAGCCACTGGGTCCAGTACTTGAGCCATGGAGTAGACCATGTGGGACCCAGTGCCTTCACCACACCACTTGCCCGCCCGCCACTCAGATTTCAAACAGAGGGTTGTCGAAATCAAATCTGCACTTGGGAAAGCTTTCTCTGGCAATGTGAGGTCAACACTTGGAAAAAAAAAAAATAGCGGTTTAGCTGGACAGTGGTGTGAAGAGTCAGTCGTAGATGGAGAGACCAAAGATGACAGTGAATTAGGAAGCCTCGCCTCAGCAGTCAGGAACAACCCGGTGGGGTCGAGGCCAGTGGCGGGCAGTGGGAATCCAAGCAAGGAACAGGCGGAGATCACTCTTGGAGACAAGCCCCAGGCCACCTCCCCGCGCCCACCTGCGCCCTGCCCTTTGAGGCTTTCTGGCTGGGGCTCGCTGAGGAATCGTGACTTGGAATTGCTCTGGGAAATCCTTCATTCTGCCACAAAACGCAGGCTCCTGGAGACCCCCCCTCAGTTATACTTTATTATTGCCAGGCACTGCTAAACCCCAAGAAGTTTGGAGTGGTGGGGTCCAACCCCCCAGAAGCCTTCCCTGACCTGCTCAGGAAAGAAGCGGCTGGTCTAACTCCCGGGCCTGATGGCTCCCCTTAAGTCCGTACTGAACACGGTGTGTTGTTCCTTGTTATCTCAAACAGAGGTTAGTTAGTCCCTGTTCCAAGAGACAGCCATTAGTTCACCTAATCCTCACAACCTTGCTAGGTAAGCAGTACTCCCCTTTACCTATGGGGCTCAAGGTGCTAAATGACTGGAGGTCCCTGCTTCTTTCTTTTCTTTTGTAATTTTTGCTAGAAGGTGCATGTGCTCACCAGAGAGGGAAAGTGAGAATGCACTTCTCATGGGGGGTGAGAGAGAGTGAGAGATAGGGGAGAGAGGGAGTGAGAAATCACCTCCCAGATGGGATGGCTACACCACAATGTCTCGTCCATTCTCCTCCCAGGATTACAGCCACCACCCAGACCAGGACGTTTCTCAAGCTGCCGGGTTGGGGACTCAAACCGGCAGCTGACCCGTGAGATCCAGCCACCTTAACCGCGGCGCCATTTGCAGGCCCCCTTTTCCTCCAACCCTCCCTCCTTTTGAGATTTGGGGCACACACAGACCCATACACACTCCAGTTTCTCAGTTCCCTGGGTCTCGACTCGAAGTGGGCAGTCAGCCACTTGGGATCCAGCCTCCTTAACCATCAGGCGGCAAGGAGGGGCAGGGCGGGCCTGGCTGGTCTTCTAACTGAAAGTAGAGGGAGTCAGGATTTGAAAACTCCTTTTTCTGTCTTCAACTTAAAATGTTCTGTGTATCTGTCTCCTCTACTGACATGAGAGATCGATTTGTGCCACCGAAAATATCTGTGTCCGCCCCAATGCGGGCATAATAGGTCATCGATAACTTATTCATCAAATGAAAGAACAAGAAGGCAGAGAAAGTTACGGAGAAGATGAGCATACAAGTAAATGCCTCCACGTTTTGGTGGCCACCATTTACTAAGCTCGTGGGGTGGGCGCGGCGGGAACTTTCAGTTACAGGATACGCGTCCAGAATTGGCCGACTTCTCGCGCTCTGTTCTGGTCCTCCATATTCCCCGCTCCACCTTTTCCTTTTCCCTCCGCATCCTCCCGGTAAATCCCATCCTCCGGGTTTCCCGGGCGGCCCGGCGGGAGCGTGCCAGTGCGTGGGCGCGCCCGGCAGCCGCCGGCATGCGCGGGGGGGGGGGCGC